CGGGCAGTGGCCGTGAGTGGCTGAGAGTGTGAGATGTGTGAGGGGCTGCGGGATCTGAGGGGCCGCATGGCCGTGAGGGCAGCGGGAAACTGAGGGTGTGAGGGGATCGGGGTTTGAGGGAATGTGGGGCTGCGAGGGCAGTCGAGGGCTGAAGGTGCGAGGAGCTGCCTGGCTGTGAAGGGAGCGGAGGAGTGAGGGGCTGAGGGATCTGAGGGGCTCTCTGGCCATGAGGGACCTGAGGGGAGTGGGAGGATGTGAGGGGCTTCCCGGTTGTGAAAGGTGTAGGAAGGTATGGGGGGCTCCTTGTCTGTGAGGGAGTTGCGGGGGGCTGAGCATGTGAGGAGAGCTGAGGGGCTGAGGGATTGCAGGACTGCCTTGCTGTGACAGGACCGGGAAGCTTTAGGGGGGTACCTGTGTGTGAGGGTATGCATGTCTGTTAGAAACGTGGGGCAGCTGGAGGGGTGCAGAAGCAGTGGGGTGAAGCAGGAGAGCCCATGCATCCTGAGGAGCTCATGCAGAGCCAGTGCTGGATCTGATGGTGGAATTCTGTCAGTCGTACTGCGTGTGTTGAGGTGATGTGGTGCTGGGTGAGGGGGGTGTGTGTGTGACAAACAGGACACTGGTGTGACAGACAGCTGCCACTGGGTTGCAACGATGATGGTTGATGGTGAAGCATTGTGAGCAACAGTCAAAGTGATGGGATGTTCCAGTTCACAATGGGTGAAAAGCAGCTGTGGTGCACTGATAGAGCAAGAAGTGCCATGAGAGGCCATGGAAAATACCATGAAAAATAAATCGTGCACTTAAATGTAGAAAACCCCATGTAGAAGCTCACCTTTAAGTCTTGATAACACATAAAGCCATCTGACTTGCTCCACACAATTTTGGAAAGTCCATAGACACTAGAGTTATCCAGTTAGCTCTCACCTAACAGAAGGTAATTAAAGATGAAATTTTTGACACTTTATACATGATACTCACTTCCTCCCTTGAAGCTTGACGTGATTTTTGGAAAATTTCAAAACCCATGGGAATTGTGGGTACACAGTTTTTTTCTAAGGAAACAGTCCCCTGCAAGCAATTTTAAAACATGATACAAAAAGCTCGTGTAGGTAGTAACTGCTGCTTAAAGCTGTGTTATCAGATATGTCATCGAGCTCTCCTGGGAGACTACAATGCCTCTTCCTAAAGCTGGAATAACTAGACCACATTCTGATGTCCATACGTGTGAGGTTTTGTAGTACAATCCATGCTCTGTGTGTTTGTGCTTTAAATGAAAACAGAAATTTAAATAGTTGGTTTCTTTCTCTTAACCTTTCATTTGTAGGAGATTCTCCTGATGTCTCTTTCCACCCTCTCTCCTCTGAGAGCCACAGGGCGTTACACAGTCCAAGGAATGACCACTGTTTGTGTGGAGCTGGAGATTTGGTGCTGTCTGAGCTTCAGCCTTAATTTGTCAGGAGTCTATGCTGTAAAATCTGAAGTCATGTCAAATTGTGCAAAATTGGTTGATACGTGACAGTTTATTGTATGAAGAAAATACCCCTTCCAGTTTATGATTTATTTTTTTTTTTCCATTGGAAGACATTTTTAGCTAATATTTTCTATGCTAGCAATACAGAGATATACCAAAAAATGTGCAGTTAATTAAAGAATGGACTAATGAAAAACTTTTTCTAGCTGTATTTCACCATTAGACTACTGATACTTTTAACCACCATTTGTGCATGTTCCAAAATTAAAACTTTTTGAAAAAACCCCCAATGTGTTAGTTACAATGAGTTGGAACAGTATACATTCATGGGTGTTTCTTTTGCAAACATTGAAGTGGATCGTAGCTGTGGTTTTAGGAACCATGTCACGGCTTCCATGTCTCCAGTGTGTGAGCAAACGTGCTTTCAGAGTGTGAGACTGCTTCACATTCCCCCTGAAATAGTTCAGCCTGATAGGATTAATGGTCTTGTAACAGAATTGTAGAAAATAGAGTTAAAATTGACCCTTGAAGGATCATCTAGACTTTTCCCCTGTCCAAAGGGAGGTGAAGATATACCTGAACACTTTTTACCATCTTTGTCATGCTCTTAAAAACATGCAGTGACAAAGATGACGTTTTTTAAGTTCTTTACAAGTTCCTCCCCAATATCCTACACTTTTCTCACTTAAACCTATGTTAAAATATCTGAAGTTGATAATATATCCTGTTCTAACAACAGCATTTGAAGACTGGTAAATGCATGCCACCTCCTGGCTTTATGGACTTGAGGATGTTAGTGGTTTGTTCTCTGGGTTAGACCAGAGCAGTCACCTGTAGCTGTAGGTGACAGTGTGGTGCTCCTACTGCTCGCTGTCATAAACTCCTCTTACCATTCTGGGTCAAACTGGTCTGGTGAGCAAGGTGCCTTCTGACAAAAATGTGGTGTTTGCACTTGGCAGCTTGCAGTGAAAAAGTTGAGTGTAATTGCGTTAGAATGCACCTTTAAATTTTAATTAACAGAAAAAAAAGTTATTGATTAGAAATACATACACCCAGGTAAATTGAAAGTAGTAAGGTCATAGAAACATTTTTCCACAATAACTGAATAATTGCCCTTACCTTTTCCTGGCTCAGTTCCAGTTAGACATCCCAAGTCTGATTCCTCAAGTGAGCAGGGCTGTGAGAGCTAACCAGTTAGTTAAGACTATCTTCCTTTCTTGCTGCTACCTGAGAAAAAGAGAAGGGTTGCACAGATTAGGCTTTGAAAAAGAACCAGCTGCATTTAGTGGATGGTCTTTTTATATTGAACATTAACGTAAATAGTGTCTGTTACCCCACTAAGGATGCGTATTTTATAGTTTTATAAAGGCTAGAGCTGTCTGTTTAACCCTCATCCATGTGTCTAGCTGTTCATTGTGGTGGTTTGAGTTAAGGTGAGGTGCGAGTAGAAGAAAATACTTCTTGAGAAAAGATGCTATTCTGCTGCAGTTGACCAGTACTGGGGTGAGATAAGTGAGTTACACTCTATCTGCACCTCAGTAAAATGCCGTTTGAGTTTCCATGAGATGTCAGCAGATCTCTGAAAGCATAAAGAATGTGATGGAAGAAAACTTTCTTAAAAGCTAATGGGTGATGCCTCAGCAGTGCTGTAATACAGGGCACTGAAATGGCTTTTCATTTCTGCCACATACTGTGCAATAGCACGTGTTAGTTCGATATTAAAAAAGTGGAGAAAATTTTATACAGAATTTTATTTTAAAATCTTAGTTGCTGCTTGGATAATACCACACAGAGTTATGTTGGGTGGTTTTGGGGGTCTGACCCCTTTTTACTTTGTTCTTCCATTCCTCGGAGAGCATTCCTTTTGGAGCCGAAGTTGTAGTGAGTGGTTAGTTTAGTCTTTGTGAGACTCATTTCCCAAATAAGCCACCGCTGAAGAGCTCATGGTGCCTTTTTGCCCTCACTCCTTAGTCTGATCTGGTCCCTTGCTGTCACTAGTATCTACTTAACTTGTTCTCTGGTTGGTGGCAACATCAACTGTGGAGGGATATCAGGCTGTTGTTTGTCTGTCCTAGACAACTGTGTTCTGTTCTGTCCTCTTCTTGGGGAGACTGCACTGCCACAGGCCAGAGTGGAGGATCTGTGGTGCCAAAACCCTGATTTTATTTTCTTAAGCATTTTTTTTTGTCTTTTCTTATTTTAAGTCATTATTAAGGATCCTGTATGTGGATCTCTGAAAACAATGTTAGAGATCATTCCTGCACTTGCTACCACTGGTATTTTGATACATGAAGGAAAAATTAAGATGCACAAACAGTTCAGCCAACAGAGATCAGAATCCAAGATTTCCTCCCTTCTGTCTTCACAGCTTCCCTTCACTGCACTCAAAGTAGAGGTGACGGTAAATCCACCCAGAACTGTGGATTTTGTTATTTGAGCTGCCCACCGAAAGGTCTGTTGAGACAGCCTTCATTCCAAAATTGTTGAGTAATCGCTAATTATTTTTCTCTTTCCTTGCTCCTTTGAGTGATAATTCTGTGTTTGTTGTCAAAAATAATAGTGAATTGCTTTCTTGTAACTTCTGACTGTTTCATGTGTCAGGACTCATCTTCTTTCTAGTTTAGGAATGAGAAAGACTATTTAAAGCCTTTTGGTATTAGGGGAACTGAGTAATTTTTTCACTTTTGTGAATTTTAGCAATAAGTGGGCTTGTGGGGAGATCTGCCCCACTTTCCTGTCTTGAAATAGATTCAGGTGAAGGGTCTGGAGTATGAATCTGGTGAGGAGCAGCTGAGGGACCTGGGGCCATTTCGCCTGGAGAAAAGGTGTCTCAGGGGGGACCTTCTTGCTTTTGACAGCTCCCTGAAAGGAGTTTTGAGCCAGTGGGGGTCGGTCTCATCTCCCAAGGAACAAGTGACAGGACAAGAGGAAACAGCCTCAAATTGTGCCAGGGGAGGTTTAGGTTGGACACTGGGAACAATTTCTTACCTACAAAGGTTGTCCAAGCCTGTCCCAAGCTGCCCAGGGCAGTGGTGGAGTCCCCATCCCTTGAGGGTTTCCAAGCCGTGGAGATGTGGTGCTGAGGGGCACGTGTCAGTGGTGGCCTGGCAGTGCTGAGGGAATGGTTGGACTCTGTGGTCTGAAAGGTTTTTTTCCAACCCAGACAATTCTGTGATTCCTTGTGTAACTTTTCTGTGTAGGTTCCTGGAACTTGGTGAATATTGCTAACATGTAACAATTAAATAAAACAGCACCACACCACTTTAAATGCGAGTCTAGGTTGAAAAGTCTGTAGCAAAGTGGATGGTGAAGGGTAGTATGTCCTTGAGACTAGAGTGGAAGCTCCTTCTCTTTTTTACTGTGGAATTGGCGTGAGGTTACCATAACTCTTTAAGATGTAGTTGTCTCTGGTGTTCTGCAGTTTGTCTGGTTGAAGATTTCCCCTAGGAGGAATGGGAGCTTGTGTAACCACTGTGTAGAGTTAGTGCTCAAGTCAGTCATGTTGGTGTGAAGATCTTTAGTCGTCTCTACAGTATGTTTTCAACTCTCCATTGACTGACATTGTAAATTGGTGGCTCTGTGATGGCACAAGTTGTAAGCAAGTGCATTTAAATAACTCTGCTTCAGGGCATTATTATTGTGGGAAGAGTTTTGCTGGAGTGGCTGTGCAGAATCTGTCTAGTGATGTTGCTGCTCAAAAATTCATAGCAAGAAAGTGACTACGTAGACCCCATTGGGGAAATCTAAGTTGATTAATGCATTGGCAGCAATTACTGCAAGTGTTTTACTGACCAGAGGAAATAGTATCTTGCATAGCTGAAAGGAGCCCCGTGTGCAGGGGAAATGTTTCTTTAGCTCTGTGTTGTCTCAGAGAACAAAACAGAAATGTTGTATGAAAAATGCATCTAACAAACTCTTCCTTTAGGTTGGTGAGCACTGGCTGTAGAGTGATTTTTTTTTTCTTTTTTAATTTCTATTATTTCCTGTCTCAAAAATGTACTCTAAACTCTCCAAAGACCACAATAAATGGGAAAAATGCTGTATTTTGGAGACAGACAAAGAAGACAAGCAATTTAATGCCTGCCTTCAAAAACCGTTTGACTTTAGCCTACAAGCACATCTCTTTCCTTTGTAGTTTTCTTTTTAAGATTTAATTTTTAGGAAAATGAATGGTCGTGTTTCATGAGCAACTGCATTACAGTCTGTTGTGTGCATGAGACAGAGGCAAAAATTTATAAAATAAGAGAGAAAGATTCCTGAATTTACTGGGGCTGCCTTAAATGATGAACAAAAGGAGAAAACCAAACTTTTAAAACCATTGGGTGGTATGTTGCAGTGGAAGGTGCACAGAACTTGCCGTGGCCTCTCATGAAGGGCAGGGCTCACCACATTCCAATTTTGAGTATGGTTTGAAATGGTAGGGGATTTTGCTTTATCTTGAAACTACCTGATTCTTTTCCTTATGTGCAGATGTCAAAGATGGGTAGAGAACTGTCGAAGGGCAGATTTAGAAGATAAAACTCCAGATCAACTCAACAAGCATTACAGATTGTGTGCGAAGCATTTTGAGACTTCTATGATATGTAGAAGTGTAAGTAAAACCAAGCTGGTTTTTATCACATCTTGTAAAATATGACTAATGCGTTTCCTCAGAATGCTGCATGTTAACCTCTGATCTCCTGAGTAGCTGGTCTCTGGGAAAATTAATCTTCTCTTAGTGGTAACTGAGATCATTGTCATGGGCCAGGGCACCACCAAGACTGGGAGATACCGAGGTGGAAATGAGCAGTCGGGGAGGAGAAGAGCAAAGCTGCTCCTGCTGTCAGTGTGTGTATGGACCCCTGCTCTTCACTGCACTTCTTTTCTTGTTTTGTTTATTGTCACTAGATGTGACAACATTCTAAGAATTTGTTGGGTGTATGTAAGCTTGCATACCTCTAATTATTTAAAATTGCTGATGTGCTGTTACTGAAGTCTGTATGTGGTGTGAGTTGGTTAAATTACACTCTTGTGGTCAAAAGATTGAAACATTCTTTGGGTCTGTCAAGCTTTTGGCTCCTGTTACATTTTATCCAGCTAAAATCATGACACTGTTTCCTGTTCATGATTCATGAAATAGCAGCTTTCAATTCTTCTTGTTAAGAAGATAACGTTGATTTTAAGAACTTATGTAACAGTAGGAAACCGTGGGCTTGGGGCTTTGTATCTAGTTTTAATTTCTAGGCTGAATTTTGCTCTGATATGTCATGAAAATCAGCCCTTGAGCTATGAAGGATAATTAAAATACAGAGGTCAGGCTGAGCTGCTGGTGGTGTTACACATGACAGGGTCTCTAATTAGCCAGCATCCCAGAAAAAAAAACGAATATTGGAAGTAATTCTGAGTTGAAATGAAGCTTTATGAAACTTGGTTTGTTTAAATGTACTTCAGTCTAATGATGGGTATGAAAATCATCAGTTAAAATTGCATACTTACTAGAAATTAGCCAGTTTAGACACCATAAGTTTACAGTATATTCAAATCTAAAATATTACTTTAAATATTTTTATTTAACTGCTAGAAATATTTACAGGACCATCTAGAAGTCAATACTCCTGGTCATTCAACAGAAATATTTTCCTTCAGAATGCTCTGCCACAGTAGTGTGTTGTGGAATTTAAATCAGCATAAAGAACCAGGTGAACATTTTCACAATGAAAATGTTTATGTGACTGTTTCTAGAATTGTGAAATACGTGATAAAAACCAAAGCACAATTATAAATTTTTTCCTTTCTGATGCATAGATGTCTTTTTATCCAGAACGGGTTTTTTTTACAAAAAATCATAATATTGCAGTAAGTTAAAATTACTGCATCTGGAGTCTTTGATGTGAAGATAATGGGGAGGAAAACTATTTTTTGTGTGGGTTGAGGGTTGGAGGTTTTTTTTAGCATCTCCTCATTTTCAGTGTTCTCTTCATATCCCTGAAATGTGAATTGCATAACAGAGCTTTCTGTTTGCTTTGAAATAACTGAAAGTGAAAATACTTAATAAAAAAATAAAAAAGAGGTGGGTGTGTGGTGGTGTCTGAATTTCTAGGGGGATTTGTGCACAAATGGTGAGGATTTCCCAAAGAAATCCCTAATCCAAATGTCTGTCTTCTTACAGAGCCCTTACAGAACAGTTTTACGGGACAATGCTGTGCCAACTATATTTGACCTCACAAGTCACCTGAACAATCCTCACAGCAGACACAGGAAAAGGATAAAAGAGCTGGTGAGTTTTTCATGTAAGATTTATTTTTTTTTATATATAACATAAAAACAACAAAGACAAGTAAGCTTATGTGAAACTAGTATAAAAGCATCAGATACTACTTACCGCTTCAGTGTCTGCATTTTCTGTACTGCCTATTCTGGTATCTTTTTACGGATTAAAAATTAAACGCCCAAATATTATGCTGCTATAAACTTTATCTAGTAAGGAAGGTTTAATGAAATACTCTGAAAAATGAAATGTGTTGGTCCAGAGCTGATTTTGTCTTGCAAAAAAAGTGCATAGCTTCCTATTGCTTGTTAGTACAGTGCTAACTGAAGACACCTCACACATGGTACTCTCAAATTCTTGCAACATATCGATTGTGGTCTTCAGTTCACCCATTGAACTTCTGAAGTCTGCACCAGTTCAGACATGCCTGGTTTAGCTTATGGTTCTGAAAAGTTCATCCACATATAAAACCAAGATCAAGGAGGTTTTTTTGGAATAGTGCCTTGTCAATAACTCTTTTGTGGTTTTGATAGAGGAAGTGTCTTCAGGTCTCTGTGGTTCTATATATACTGAAAAAGAGGAGGAATTCAACTCCTAGGTTCTGCTTAGATGTTGAAAAATAAGAATTTCTAAATATTTCTTCATGAGTTTGATTCTTTTCATTGGCTAAAAATAGTTAAAGACAGTTCTGTCTACTCACAGTGCCTGATCATACTGAAACCGAATTCTTTGATGGAACCTATTTACTAATAATTATGCAATACGTATTGGAACAAACTCCTAACCTAAGTATGGGAACATGAGCAGTAGTAGCAAACTGTTCACATGTAGTTACCAGGTGTGTGTGGTGGGATCAATAAACTACCTGAAGAAACCTTCTCTTGGACCTTCTAGCATTGTTTGGTAAATATTATAAACACTCTCAGAATGGTCTCATTTACAATATTTATATCTTAAAATATTGTGTTTCAGTATTTTAAGGTCATGCGTTGGACATTATCTTCAGTGTGTGTTTGTTTGTTTGTTTTTTAAAGAGTGAAGATGAAATAAGAATGCTGAAGCAACAAAAGAGTAAGTGGGCAAAAGAACTGAGTTGATAAAAACTTGGTCTTCTCAGCCTGACAAGGTAATGCAGGACACATAACTGGAAGTTTATGTATACCAGGAGGATAACTGAGTTCCTGCTTGATTTGAACAGCCAGTCTAAACTCTTTCTGAAATACTCCTTCACTTTTAAACTGGAAACATTCTTCTCTGGACCCCAGGAAATTACTTAAATTACCCCCTGGGATTAATTAAAGGTAATGGGGATAGTAAAGGAAAGTGAATGTTATGTTTTATTTGCATTATCTTGACACAGTATTTTACATTTTGTAGTTGATGAAGCTTTTGAGCGGGAGCAGGCAACTCAAGAATTGAAGGAAAACAATGAACAAAATGCCGTCTTGGAGGGAGGAGGGGAAGAACAAGAGGAAAAAGCTGTTCCCTTAACACTGGAGGAAAGAGAAAACAAAGATTACCTGAAGTCCTTGTTTGAGATTTTGATCCTGATGGGTAGACAGAATATTCCTTTGGATTGCCACAGTGTTGATGAGCTTCCAGAAGGTATTTTTACTTCAGATAACTTTCAGACTCTACTGGAATATAGAATAAATGCTGGAGATGAAATTCTGAGGAAACGGTTTGAGATGACTGCAGTCAATCTTGAGTATTGTTCGAAAACTCAGCAGAAGCAAATGCTTGAGATCTGTGAGAACTGCGTCAGAGAGGAGACACTGAGGGAAGTGAGAGACTCACACTTCTTTTCCATCGTCACCGATGAAGTAGTAGACATAGCAGGAGAGGAACATTTGCCGGTGTTGGTGAGATTTGTTGATGATTCTCATAACCTCAGAGAAGAATTCATTGGTTTTTTACCGTATGAGGCTGATCCTGAAATTTTAGCCGTTAAGTTCCTCACAACTATCACTGAAAAGTGGGGTCTAAACATGGAGTACTGTCGAGGCCAAGCCTACATCGTCTCCAGCGGGTTTGCTTCTAAAATGAAAGTGGTGGCTACAAGACTGTTGGAAAAGTATCCACAAGCTGTATATACGCTGTGTTCCTCCTGTGCCTTAAACCTTTGGCTGGCAAAATCCGTTCCTGTTGTAGGTGTTTCCATCGCGCTGGGAACAATCGAAGAAGTTTGCTGCCTTTTTAATCAGTCCCCACAATTACTTGTAGAACTGGACAACACGATTTCTGACCTTTTTCAGAACAATAAGGTGAAGGCTAACGAGCTGAAGGAGATCTGCCGTTCTCACTGGACAGGCAGGCACGATACCTTTGAGGTTTTGGTGGACCTCATGCAAGCGCTGGTGCTGTGCTTGGATGCAGTAAGCAGCGACTCCTCTGTCAGGTGGAACAACTTCATTGTCAGTCGAGCGTTCGTACTTTCGAGTGCGTTAACAGATTTTGACTTCATTGTGACTGTGGTAATTCTGAAAAATGTCCTGGCTTTCACGAGAGCGTTCGGGAAGAATCTCCAAGGGCAGACGTCGGATGTGTTCTTTGCAGCTAGCAGCTTAACAGCGGTGTTACATTCTCTGAATGAAGTGTTGGAGAATATTGAGGTTTACCATGAATTTTGGTTTGAGGAAGCGACAAATTTGGCTACAAAACTGGACGTGCAGATTAAACTCCCAGGAAAATTTCGCAGGGCACAACACGGGAACTTGGACTCTGAGGTAACGTCAGAAAACTACTACAAAGACATCCTTAGCATCCCCACACTGGAGCATATTATTCAAGAATTAAAAGATATATTCTCAGAAAAACATCTAAAAGCTCTGAAGTGTTTATCATTAGTGCCCTCAGTCATGGGGCAGCTCAAATTCAATACATCCGAGGAGCATCACGCTGACATGTACAAAAATGACTTGCCCAATCCAGACACGCTTTCTGCTGAGCTTCATTGTTGGAGAATCAAGTGGAAACACAGAGGAAAAGATATTGAGCTTCCAGCAACGATTTATGAAGCACTTCACTTGCCTGACATCAAATATTTCCCTAACGTTTACGCATTGCTGAAAGTCTTGTGCATCCTTCCAGTGATGAAGGTGGAGAATGAAAAGTATGAAGTGGGACGGAGGCGCTTAAAGGCGTACCTGAAAAACACCCTGACGGCGCAAAGGTCAAGCAACCTAGCGTTGCTGAACATAAACTTTGATATCAAACATGACTTAGATTTAATGGTGGACACCTACATCAAACTCTATCCAGAGAAAGTGGAATTTCAAGACTTTATTACCTCCAACAACTCTGAAGTGACAGGAAATGCTTGATTATTTTTTTTTTAAACTCTAGCCAGTCTGTTGAAACAGCTTTTTCTTAGTGAAGTTTCAACACTGAGGTCAAACAAACAAACAAACTGTGAAATCTAAAAAAAAAAATTACTGCAATTGTATTTCCATTTTAGATCTCGGACTGAAGTCGATGTGATCTGTGACCCAAATTTTGTTCTGTTAGTCTGCATTAAATGTGTTATGCAAACAAAATTGAGCCTGAAAATAAGCCCATGCTCTTGGCAGAGGTGCTTTCTACATATGATCAACTTAATTAGGTGCTCATTTATTTTATTGCATCTTGGAAAAAGTATGTCATGATTGTACTGATGGGGCTGTTACATACTCGCTCGTGAATTAGGATAAGAAAAAATCCCAGCTCAGAATGTTAAAAATAATATAATCCATTTCAGTTCTGTTACTTAGGATTTTTATTCTTTTAGACAACTTGGAAGAGAAGTCTTTGATATGTATTTAATTGGCATTTTGGAGAGTGGACTGAGCTGTCACACACTCCCTGTGCTGTGGACTGTTCTTGGTGTATAGTGAATGTTAGTGGTATAGAGGTACATACGGTTTTTGGAAGAGTCAACCTCTTTAATCTCTCATGACTGTTTACATTCCTTTGTGTCAGACACAAACCTTTTATTTCTTCTTCTTTAGGGTTTTAACAGGCATGGCAGGAGTATTGAAATTCCTAAAAGACACTAAAAATGTATTCCACAAACATTTAAATCTGTTCGTTCTCTCCTGACTGACACAAACCCATGCATCTTACTGTCTATAAACTTGCCCAGGAAAGCTTAAAATTAGAATTTGTTGTTTGTCTAGAAGTAATATTGAAAATACTGCTGTTATTTTTGGCAAGAATGAAACATTTTTGTACAGTTTATTGCGATTGGAAATAAAATGTGAATTGCTTTTTACATAGTAGTGGATTTCTTAGTAAAGCTGCACTTTCTGAGTATGTGTATTCTTTTGTGAAGTATCTTTTAGTTTGGGCAACTTTCTCCATGGTTTTTGCATTTCTGGTGAGTGGCGTTAAGCCCTAGAGAATTGTGTGTAACAGCAGTTCTGAGCTGTATGTTCTGCTGAAGCTTTTTTAAAATATTTTGAGGTAGCACAGTGCTTTTAATGATAGAAGTTCTGTCCAGATGAAACAGGCAGAAATAGATAAAATTTGAAATGGTTGAAAGTGAAGTTTTATTGCTATCCTGATGAATGCCAATTTTATAATGTGTTTATGGTTCTCCTTTTATGCACTTTCCAATTGCAGAAGGTCCCAAGTGACAGAAAATTGAATTATTATAGAGACTGTGACAAGTGTGGTTTTTAATGTTTTAATGCACACAAACAATAAGAATAAATTTGGAAAGAAAAACCTTTACTAAGTGAGCTTCGATATTAAAGTGGCTATGTACATCTTAAGAAATGCTTTCAGGAGCTTTTATTTGCTTTGGAGTAGTAAAAAGTATTCCTAAAATTATCCTTTTTTTTTTTTTTTTCTGCTATTTATTCTACACTTTCTGGCATGTTTTCATGTTGATGCAATTGTTGCCTTGATCAGTAAAAAATGTTTTCACTGCTGCTCTGTTCCTCTGCATATATGAAAATAGCCCTAATTATGCTCATGCTATTAAGAAAAAAAATTTAGATTAGAACTCATGTGGAAAATTGCTTTTTTTTTTCTTTAAGATATCAATGATTGTTTTAGTAAAATTAATTTTTAAAAAAAAATCTTTCCCATGGTGGGAATATGTAAAGGCAGCAGCGTGAGGAGGTTGTGACCTCTGAGCTTGGGAGCCTCGTGCCCACAAAGCCAGGCTGGATGATCCCAGGCTTACAGGGAAGGAAAACCGATACCCAGCGCCGTGCAATCATCCAAACGATCTGGAGGTTCCATTCTGACTGTAGCAATGAGACCTTTTTGACCTATGTGCTGAGACAAAGAGGAAGGGAAATGCAGTAAAATGCTCCTTTAGCTACTGAAGTGTCTCCTGGAGCTGAGCTGAGACACAGGGTCGTGAGGAGTGTTGCTAATTAGCTGGCTCCAAGAGCCCTGATTGCGCGGTGTGCTCAGTCCCTGTGCTGCCTTTTGCAGACACTCGGACTGTCTCTCATCAGCCACAAGCTCCTTATCTGATTTAATTTGAATTGTCCCCTTGGTGAGGAATGCCTTGTTTTTTAGGCACATCAGCACATAGCAGAGGACCCTGTAGTAGGTAGTGTGAATATTTTTTTCTGGGAGTGCAAATGAAGGATACGAGAAGACAGAGGGGATCTGATCAGTGCTTATCAATAGCTAAAGGTAGGGGTTCAAGAGGATAGGGCCAGATTCTTCAGTGGTGCCCAGTGACAGGACAAGGGGCAATGGGCACCAACTGTAACCCAGGAGGTTCCATCTGAGCAGGAGGAGAAACTTCTTTGCTATGAGGGTGGCAGAGCCTGGAGCAGGCTGCCCAGAGAGGCTGTGGAGTCTCCTTCTCTGGAGAGATTCCAAACCCACCTGGATGTGACTCTGGGCATCCTGCTGTGGGTGACCTGCTGGAGCAGGGGTTTGGAGGGGATGATCTCCAGAGGTCACTTCTAACCCCACCAGGCTGGGGTTCTGTGGCTGAAGGTGAATCCAGTAATACAGTCTTAAGGAGAATGCTGTTGCTGGAGCAGGTCAGAGACTGATAGAGGAGGGTCTGAAAATGATCAGATATTGACAAGAAAAGGATCTGAAATGAAAATTGGTCTGAAAACAAATAGTCACTGAAGATAAACTTTGGGGTTTTTTTTTGTTTCATTTTATTTTTTTTTTAACAGATTCTTGAGACAGAGGGAATTATCATCTGAAATATGCTCCCAATTCAGGGCAGTGTGTATGTCCAAGGTCCATCTGAGGTGCTCACCTCAGTTTGACCTGGCTTTTTTGGCACATTCTATGTAATGAAGCAATACATCTACTTAATTTATTTGAAATATCACTGCTGAGATGAAAATACTTTTAGTGGGAGTGGATTTTCCTTAGCTGCTCAGCCGTGGTGCTTTGTGACAGCAGTGCTTGTCTTGATACACGAACTCCCTTTCCTCAGGCTCAGAATTCCTGTTGGAAATCGCTGATGCCTTTTCAAAAAGGAGCACGTGGCTTTCTGTCTCCTGCGGTGTTAGTTCTCTCCCTGGCTGCAGAAGTCCTGTAACTGCTTGTTTGGCTGCCAAGGCTCTGCTGTAAACACGCAGACAAACAGAGCCACTTAATGATTCTGGGTGCAGCTCTCCCATTCTCCCCCCACCCCCCGCCTCCTGTGCCTTGTGTCTGCAGCACTGGAAAGCTCAGAGGTGCCAGAAACATCCCAATTACTCTGAGATGAAGAAAATAAATCTCTTCGCTGGCTCTGTTCCAAGAAACTATGGCTAACCTAGAATTACAATAGGTGTTATCCCAAAGTAGGCTTAACATTCAATAACTTCCAGACCTCTAATGCTCCCTGCTTTCCCCGAGGAAAATGGTTCTTACAAAGAATAGCAGTCTCCCCAACATTTTGCCTAGGTGTAATTAATGACGTATCGGCAAAAAATTGGAGTTGGATGTTTTAGATCTTCAGTGGTTTCAAAATATGTGTGTGTTCATTGTAACTTTTCTGTGCTTTACAAAATAACATCATTAATCAAATAAAATGAGTGATAGGACAAGAAGAAATGGCCTCAAGTTGCGCCAGGGGAGATTAAGGTTGGATATTAGGAAAAATTTCTTCCCCGCAAGAGTGGTGAAGCCCTGTGCCAGGCTGCCCAGGGCAATGGTGGAGTCCCCATCCCTTGAGTGGTTTCCAAGCCGGGGAGATGTGGTGCTGAGGGACATGGGTCAGTGGGGACCTGGCAGTGCTGGGTGAAGGGTTGGACTGGTGACCTCAAAGGTATCTTCCGACCACAACGATTCTATGAATTCAGTGTGCCTTTTCTGTAAGACAATAATTGTTCATTTTATTATCGCCATAGTTGTCCAATGTTTCTGTTTATTTTTTTGTGTGTAGTGAGTGTGCTTTTTTTCTTAAAACCACACCTGTGTGTCTTTTAGCAGGCAACAGCTATCCCTGGAAGTGTCCCTGAAGGTACTGGCAAAGTTTGTTTGGTGGGGTTGAGGAGCAGCAGTGACAGATCAGGTACCTTTGTGGTCCCCTGTTCCTCTGGTTTGTAGCGTCCCAAAGTGACATGTGCTGCAGAAGTGTTTTGCATAAGGTTCCCAGTGCACGTTGATTGACATGAATACTCTCGAGGAACAAATGAGTTGTGGAACTAGGGGTACAGACTCTTGTGAGGCTGGCTCTTATCATCCCCCAAAGCCACCTGTGCTCTCAGCAGACCTCCCAGAAACCCTTATGTATTCATGGCCACGTGCTCCACCATCAGCAGCACTATCATGACAGGTTTGTGTGGGCAGCAGAGGATGCTCCACTCCATGCTGTGAGTCTGCCATATGGAGTCCAGATGAGAGCTTAGGCTTCCCTTGCAGCAGGTAGAGGAGAGGGGCCTGTGGCAGCTCTGCTTTTTCTCAAAGGTGCTGAGCAATGTGCATTCACATTTCAGAACTGAGATCCCTGTGAAAGCCAGGGCTGGGGGTGGTTCAGCTGCCAAGAGTTTCAGGTGTCTCATGGTGTCTTTCACTGAGAGATGACTACTCAGTCTCTGATCATCTGTGATGGTCTGCAGTCAGAGCTGGGGCTACATGCACAACTGCTAGAGCATGAAAATTCAAGGCATGGCCTTGAACACCCCCAGGGATGGGGCAGCCTCAGCCTCTCAGGGCAACCTCTTTCACTGCCTCAAGGGCAACTTTATAAAGGAAAGATGAACTATTGGGGCCAGGGGTTTGTGTCATGAGGGAAGCAGGAGAGGGTTGGGGAGATAAAAGAGAGTGTCAAGGACATCAGTTTGTTGGTAGTGTGATGCTCCAAGCCTGTGTACTATATGAGCACTGTGTCCAGCTCTGGGGTCCTCAGCGTGAGGACATGAACCTG